TGCTGTTCAGACGGAATTTACAAATGAACAGCCACCAAGTTCTCCTGTTGTGCTTTTCAGAGACTTTCAATCTTCATGTTAAAATTTACCGTGATACAATATTAGTTGTTTATATTTTATGAAAAATCTTGGTATGAACAACTTATGAATACAAGTAGATACCTTGAAAAATGGAAGAAAGTACTATATAGGATTGTATAAAGGCATTTCAAGCACTGCCAGATTGAGAAATAGATTCTTGTAATTTACTGGGCTATTTTTGTTGAGTTTGCCACATACAAGGTTTTACATTTTTAATCAATTTGTAAGAGTCCTGCTCTTTTTGTCAATGTTTCATTGATTCCTTTTCTCAAGAAAAATGAAATCTTAGATAAAGCATACAAAATAAGATCTATGATTTTATGACTGATTTCACAGACTTTTTCCAACCTCTACATGTAGTAATTAGTAGAGAACGTAGTACAGGACAAAAAAGGCGGTTCATCAGTGTTTCAGAAAAGCATTATTCTCATGCAAATGTGTTAGACCACCAGTGCTTTTTGGCTCACTGACATCATGAGCAGTTCCTCCTTCTGAGGCAACATGGGCCACAGTCACTTCGGCTCAGGTAGAAGGGATGTCTGTTGTTTCTATGCAGAGACAATAAATTATTCTAGTTCCTCCTTATTTTATTACTTTAAAAAATTAAATAAAGGACATTCTGACTAGAAATATAGCATTTTCTGCTCCCTGATTGTTGTACTTAACTATAATTTTTACTTTTCTTTACTCTAAAATGGCAGATTTATTCTGGAAAAGTTTGAATTACTAGAAATTAATTTCACGTCTCCATAAATAGTCAAAGAATTTGTGAGAGACCAGGAAGATGGAACAACAATATTTTAGGAAAACAGTATGACACTTTCTCTCAATATGAAACTGATATTTGACTTAGCATTTAAAACTATAAATCAGGCAGAAATACCCATTCTCTTTCAGCTTTTGACCTGTAGGCACAGAAGCCTTTATTTATTAAGTATTTATTGCCTATTGTGCATGTCAATTCTATTTCAGTCTATTGTGTGAGAAAGAAAATCTTTATGAAAATGACATTTGTTGAATGTACCAGACATGTGGAGCACTTTAATATATTTGTATAATGTTGAATCCTGGCCTCAACAGCGTAGGCAGTTAGTGCAGAGGACTCAGGAGGTACGAAACATGATCCATAGTCACACAGGGAACGAACGCTGTCTCTGTAGAGATGTTGCATGCCCTTACTAGGGCATGAGAAAGAGCAGGAACAACAGATGAAGTAACTGTGCCACTTTCCTGGGATCCTGCCCGGCATAAAATGTGTAGGTGGTACAACGTAAACCCTCTCTCATGGAGCAGAGGGATCAGGAGAGAGGCTGAGGATTTCTATCACAGCCATGTCTCTGCTGCAGTAACACAGCAGTACACTGCCCCTTCTGGGGGGGGGGGGAACTCCTTCCTCCTCATCTCATCCTCCTTACTCTTTTATGCTTTACTATTTGGAAAATAGGAATGGAATCTCAAAGTCCTTCAGAAATTGCCAGTTGATTACGAGTTCCCTGACAATATCAAGTGTGAAAGCTGTGATGTGTGTGCTGAAGAGCGGCTGGAGCATTACACATGGAGCTATGCGCCCAGACCAAAGCATCAGAATGAGCAGTCAATTGTCACCATGAGTCCTTCTTATAGAGGCATAGAAGTGATTGTACTTGGCAGTCCTTAGCCTTTGGATGGCTACAGGGTGCAAGTTATCCATGCCTAGAGGACATCAGGATCCATTTTCACTGGCTGACTCCTGTAGACCACTGCAAGGAGGCAATAGGAAGAAAGGAAAGCTGGGAGCAAGGGATTGGAAGAGAATTGGATCCAGCCTCACACTATCACAGGCGATACTATCATTTAAGCTCTTTCCTCAAGTAAGCACTCTCCATGTCAAAAAACGATTTATTTCAGCTGAATTGGAAAGCTGTTCTGCAACTGCAGCATGATAGCCTGTTTTTGTTTTTTTCCCTAAGGATCTCAAAATAAGAAAGATCAAAGAGATGGTATTATGAAGTTTAACAAGATCCTGAATCTCAGCCCAGTTACACTCTTTGAAAGGTTTGGGTAAGCTCCTGGATAGGATGCCAGAAAAGAAGTAGACAGTTTTTTCTCTTGTGAGAATGTCCACAAATCACTCTTAAGACTCATCTAAGTCAGCTCTTATACCATGAAGCTATATTAATCCTGATTTTTGAGAGTACTGTGATCTCCATCTCAGTTCAACTCTTTTCAGCTGTTAGTCAAGCCTGAGACCTCCTTATTAACCTCAGCTTTTTAGTTTGCCTTCCTGATTGATGTAATTTTCCTTTTCATAGGTAAATCAGTTCTGTGGGTTTGAAATGGCACTTTTCTTGCACTGTGTTTTTGTTTGAGAGGTTTCGGCTTTGCAACACTTCAATAACAAAGAGGCATTGTTTCTCTCCAAAACTGGTGTGATATTCAAAATTTAGAGACAAGTGACTTTGTATATCTGCATTTGTTTGCCATGAGCCACTTTCTGAAGCATAAGTTCTATTAACATATGATGTGCACATTACCAACTTGAACTCCAGAGTTTCCAGTGATTCTTCAGGTTCCTATTTCTCTATTTCCTGCAGTAGTAATTAGCTTTCTGTCTGAGTATCTCTAGAGACAACTCTTTTCAGCGTATTTTGCCTGATAGCTGGCTTTCTCTTCTCCGACATTGCTGTCAACCTAATAAAAAGTTCATATGCACCTCAATTTTTAAGATAGATGGGATGCAAAAGTAATTTTCCTTGTCCTGGCAACTCTGGGTTGAGTATGTTCTGACCAGCTAACTCTACTCTACTACTCCTCAGCCAGCTGTTTCCCCGTCATTCTGTTTTTCAGAGGAAAAGTTTTTTCCAGTCAGATTTAGGCATTGTTGTTTTGGCTGATGTTGCTTCAGTGTTTTTACAGCTCAATTCCTTTCAGCTTCCTAGCTTCCTTCAGATTAGTTTAGAGACCAAAGGAAATTGAATGCTTATTTCTCATACTTCTTGAACTGTTTAATGGCATATTCCAATGCTTTAACAACTTCCAAATGAAAGCCAGTTCACTTTGATTTTCAGGATTCTTATTTCTCCGGATTTTTGGGTAGCATTCTCCTCTCTTGCTTTCTCTTTCTTTTTGCTTTTGGTCATAATCTTAGAGGCAGCCTGTGTATAAGTTAGTCCACGTTAAATATCTATAATTAAGGAAATATGTAAGGGAGATATGCACTTTCTGTATTTTGTGGGCAGGTCTTACAAACATTGATCTTTTGTTTGTAGAATTTTATTTTTTTCTTTCATGGTTATTCATAAATTTCATAGTTTACAAATATTGATTTCATGCTCCATAAAAATATCTACTGTAGTGCTGAATCTTATCTTGATGCCCCTAGTACATATCCAGGCCAATCTTTATGAGCATTTATAAAACTGATCTGTCAAGTCTGTTCTGCAGAGGTGTCAGATGTTTGGTTGACCTATTAAGCAGGCAAACTGAACAAAAGTGTATTATTTTCTTTTATGGTAACATGTTTTTCCTCTGTATCTTACAATAACCCCATTCCAATTCCTAAAGATTCTTCTTTCTAATCCATAAAAGATGCAGTATCTAGATTATAACGAAAAGTCAGTAAATGAACAGTTATGCAGAATTTCAGCTTTCAGTGGCTGGAGAATAGAAGAGCTAGGGAATCTACGATTAAATAGCAACTCAGGATGATTTTCTTTAGCCCATATAGCAGAAACCCGTATTTTTAATAGGATCAAATTCTAATCCTAGTTCTGCATATTTGTGTTTGAGATTTATTTAATTATGCCTATCTGCAATCTATGGTTTTTTTGCAGAAGAACACTGGATCTGGCTATGAATATTCTTTACGACTTTAATCAGTGTCTTGTGTCACATGTATTATTTTATTATGCCCTGCAATGCTAAAACATTTCTTCCTTTTTGAATTAGAGACATTTCAGCTAGGATATTTCCACATAAATTATTTTAATGGAAGACGATGTAGAAGGACACACGTGTTTCAGGTAGTATGTCCCTAATGGTCTTAAGACACAGAGGGTAAGTAGCAGCTAATGTTGAAAGGGAAGCTGGCCTTTAGGCCTTTCTAGCACCCCTGCTACCTTTAGGTAGCATAAGAATATTTAGTAAAGGACAGGTCATTTTACAGATATAGAAGAGGCACAGAGAGGCCCTATGATTTTCTAGGGTCTTGAGAAGTCAATAGAAGCTCTAGCAATTAAGTTTGGACAACCTGAGTTATCCAATGCTTTGCTCCTGCTTTCTTCCAAGTGTGGCAGAGCTGCTGTGTAGGAATCATCAGTTCAGAGAACCTCTGCTGTGGGGATATACGGCAGCTCCTTCCTACCAGGGTACCCTAGGCTTGACCTGCCTTGAGTCTCATGATGGAGAGGCAAATCCAGATTACTTCAGAGAATCCCAGGCCAAAGGCTCACCTTAATTCACTACAGTATATACGACAGAGAATTATGGAATAATTTAGTTTAAAGGGACTCTAAAGATCATCTGGTCCGACCTCCTGCTCAAAGCGTGGTTAACTTCAAAGTAAGGTCAGGTTGTCACTGTTCATTTTTATTGTTTAAAACAACAGCTTTTTAATATATTCCACTTAACCTTTTTGAGAACCTCTTCCTTAAAGAGTTTCCTTATGCAAAACATAAAGAAACGTGTCTGTCTTTCAAATAGGCAGAAAAATAAACAGACTGTTGACATATTATATTTTTGTTGTAGAAGAATGTTAGAGAATTTAGAATAAATCCTGATTCTGACAGAATCAATGTAAAAATCCACATTGTTGACGGTTTAAAACAAAAGCTGCTCACTAACATTTAATTATTTGTGTTTTAAATTGATTTAAAATGAAATTAAAGTGATTTAAGTGATTAAAGTGAGATTTAATGTTTTAGGTTTTTTTTTTTTTCATGTTTCGCAAACACTAAATATGTTTCAGAATAACTCATAATGCTATATTTGAGTTCTCGGAATTAAACTGAAATGTGTTTGGTCGCCCTGAAACAGAAGAATTACAGCATATGCTGCACTTGGAATGTACATTATTGCTTTATACGTATTATTGATTGGTAAAGTATGTATAGTTGAATACTTTTCCCTGTAGGTAATACAGGAAAATAACTGATTTTTAATATAAGTTTTCATTTTTATTTCCAGGGATTGGATTTTGCAGCCTTCACAGCGCATATGTTTATTGGCATTTGCCTTGTTGTTCTGGTCTCCTTTCCTTTTCTCAGACTTCTTTACTGGAACAAAAAACTTTACAATAAGGAACCAAGTGAAATTGTTGGTGAGTTTGAGCACGGGATGAAATGTCTTTTTAAGCACTAAGTTGAAAATGTTAAATATAAACTGAATAGTCTCTACTATAATGTCCTCAAATGGAAGACCCACTCCTATTCAGTCTCTGAATATTTATTATTTACAAATAATTTAGAGCTGATTTTTAATCATGATTTTTTTTCTGGCTTTTAGAAGTGGATTTTTTTCTGGTGCTACGATGTGTGGTTGACACAGATTATTAAATACTTTACATTATTTGTGGGGATATTTGGCATGCTTTATATCCATACACTTGAATCCCAGGATGTTCTCTATCACCATAGTTAATGTCTGGTCAAGGTACTAAGTCCACAGCTTAGCTTCAGAAATATCCCAAATTTTCCAGGTTCCTGTGGCAAGTGTAGCACACTGGTACATTCCCGCACTCCTGATTTTCTCTGACTGAATCCTGTCAGCTGTTCTTTCCCTGTCTGCAGTCAGTGAAGGACGTTTCTTCAAGAGAAGAACCTTTCAAGTTCTTTCCAGCTTGCCTTTGTGATTCTTCCAAATCTGCCTTTCTCTGGTATATAGTTTCCATGATTTAGTTAAGACTCAAACTATTGTATTTCTCTCTTGGCTTGCTCACCTCAGTAGCCCCTAAAAGCCTTGGTGAAGCTGTTTCCCCTGGCCTTTTTGGGGTTTGGTCCCTTTTCTCTTAGTGCTTTCATGCCTTTCTAACCGGAGGTTTTGAAATTTTCATCATTGAAAGGCTTCTATTTCAGTGGTGAAACTCAATAATAACCCAAAATGTCCACAATGTTTTTATGAGGTAAGAAATGATTCATGAAGTATGACATATCTTTGATTTCTTAGCAGGCTTTGTACAAAGATAGCTAAGTAAAACTATTTCTTCCCCAGGAATGTTGGCTGTTCTTTTCTGGCCGCTAGAGACTTGGGATCCAGGCTTCTACTGACCATGCTGCAGATGTTTTAATGTGCTGTATGGCATCTCTGAACCAATGTGCATAGCATCTGTTTAGTAGGGGGAAGACAGCTTTCAATATAGTTGGTATAAAAGTTGCTGCCATAAGAAGCTGATTGTTTACTTTTTCTTTATAGAAGATTTAGGGGGAAAAAATAGTCATTCACTTGACTGTATGGTGCATACCTGTGGTGTAGTTGCTCAAAGCAGAATGAGTCCTTCTTGGCTTCCCATGTAAGCAGTTGTGACCACAAGGTGGGAAAAGGAGGGTAAAAATACCAGCGTAGAGAGATGCTCAAGGTTCATGTGGGGTTAAACAGGGTAGATTTAATAAGGGACTTACTTATGCCTGAAGCTGCACAGGGAGGCCCAGGAACCACATGGAGGGGTCACTGATGGGAGGCTGCTGGAGGCACAGGTCAGAGGCACAGGTGGGACTCAACACATATCCTAAGGGCCCCTTAAATCTACTAGAACTATTTCCTTATCTCAGCTGTGCTAACCTTGAGCACCTGCTGGCTGGGAAGCAGCTAGACATTGTTGACAAAATAGAGTAAGCATGTCCGTCCTTGTTGGGGATTTGGTCAGTGTGTAGAGAGCTCGCTTAGGGGCTGCTCTCACAGACTCTGCCAGTCATCTTGCCAGATCTTCCAGAGGTGTTCTCACCGCACCACTGGGGAAAGACTGGCCCTTCTAAGGCCTAACATAGCTGTCTGCAACAGGTCAGGTGTATCACACCTGCATTCTTATTTCTCTCTTTTGACTGTAAAGGGACTAACCTGGTGGTAGAAGTCTTCATGATAGGCACCTAATTTAGGCAAGATGAGTATCACTTGTAGTGACTGGCCTCTATCTAGAGAAAATTGGCTTTAGGAGCAGGGTTTTATTAGAGACAAAAAGTGCTGGTCCTCTCCTCTGAGAATTATACTGTGTCTCTTGAATCCCATCTGTAAGAAAGCTCAGAGGGAAACTGCCACTGAAAAAGTTGGCTCTTGTGCAGACACTTGGTTTCGAGGGATGTCAGTGCCCATTCAATAAAAGATAAACTCAGTCTACCTACCTGTTCACAACCCTAGGGGTCAAAGTCCTTCTCAGCATTAAGAATCAAAGAGTTTTTGAGATGTTCTAGAGGTGATATTACCTAACCATTTTCTAAGAAAATTAAGGAGAATTTTCCTTCTATGTACATGCTTGGTAGAAGACAGGCATTTTCATCGCTGTGCCACTGTAAAACAGATAAGGCTTTCTGCACCCTTAGGCATTTGATCCTAAGAACAAGAGAAATAAAGCAACGAACACAGAGCCCAAAATGCCAAGGTATTTCCCTGTGACACTGTAAAATAAGATTTTCAGAAAGGCCATCAAGAATCTTCTCCCTCAATTTTCTTTTAGCAGGGGAGATGATGCAAGAAATCTTCCTGACCTTGTAAATAAATCCGTTGACTAGGTACTTCTGGCTGAAAGAGAGGAAAGGCTTCATTTTCCAACAGATAAAAAGATAGGACGCTTCTGACTCACCTTTATACACTACATCAGTATTCATTCAAATAGATGGTGATCTTGAGTACCAAAAATACCTTTAGAGAAAATGGGTTACTCCCTGAAAACTGCAAGTGCTAACATGCGGAAAGGGATGCTCTCCTAGCAATGGAAATGCCTCAAATTTGTCATCTTCAAGTAATTAATGCAAGAGTTTTGCCCTGTGGGAAGTCATCAATACCTGAAATAAATATCCATGAAAAACTACATATCATGAGTGAATGAGTGATCTTCCTACTCGCCTAGTGAAAGTTACTGTCGAAAGAGAGGCAAAAATGATAAGAGATAAATATTATCCACCCCTGAATTGTCCCATATAGACTACTGAAATGCATAGCCTGAACAGGTAGGCAAATGGCTCATGTTTCAATTGCTCCTTCTCTTCTGTATTAAAACGCTAAATATGGAACAAATTCCTACCTGTTCTATGCAGGGCTCAAGAATGAAAATCTTTTGTGGAAGAGATCGTCACTGGGAAAGAAATTATCTTTTTGCTGAGGACGAAAGGAACCCTTGCAACCTCCCAGACAGAATGCATTGTAATTATGCATCATTATTAAAAATGATTACTTTTTTTTGTTGCCTGGAAGTACATTATTAAAATCTTTCATATTCAGCAATTTTTTCTAACTTTCCAACTTTCTTATTTGAAAAGAATTAATTTACTTTTATTCATTTCTTATTTTCTAATAAAAGTCATAGCTTCATGGAAATTTTCATGAATAACTGAAGTTATTATATACTTAAATTATCTTTAAAAGTGCCAGCTTGCAAGGTGTCCTCAGATAAGTAATATCTACACAGTCAGAAAGCTCATTCTGCTAAGTCTGAGCAATTTTGCTGCTAACATAATAGCACTTTTTTGTGAATATACTTCTTTAAAATAGAACTATTATTTTTTCTTTAGTCTATAACTTTTAAAGCCTGTTTTTGATTTTTAATGAATCATATATGCGTCATCACTTTTGGATTAACTCGAATAGTACAATTTATTCATTGACATAATATTTTTGCCAGTGAAACATTGTACACTTTGAAGAAGCTACCATATTTGCCACAATTCGTCTCCTGATAGTCAGTGGTACTTATAGCACTGTATGTTTAGATATAGCAGTCTTATAATCAGTATACCATTTGTTCTATCTCATAATCAGCAGCTCCTCCATAGCTGAGAAGTTAATCAGCTGAGAAGCTGTTCAATTAAATCAAAAGCTAAAGCACTACTTTTTCTATTGAAATTTTCTGTGAAGCAGGAAGAGAAGGTGATAAACACAGATTCCATTAGACGGTAGCTTTAGTAATTTGGATTTACAAAAGAAGCAGAATGTGTTCCAAGGTGCTTTAATGGGTCCTTCCGTCTCTAATTGCTGTGATTCTGTGATAACCTGAAATGCATTGTTTTAAGCAGCTCTTTTAATCAGCTAAATATCTGCCTTCCCCCAGCCTACCCCCTGATTAGCAATCAAACAAGTCTTTTTACGTTATGTTAGACTTAGCTGGTTTGGAAAATTTTCACTCTTTTCTGTTGTTTCGGGTTATGTAGATTTCTAAGAATGGCAAGGGCTAATTTTAAGAACAGGTAATATCATTATTCTGATGATCTATTGGCAGATTTTCAATATTATGTGTTACCTGTGTCTTTGATTTCTTGCTATTTAGACTGAGCTTTAACATCTGTCCAGTAGAAAAAACACATTCCTTCCCCTAGCAGTAGTATTTACTTTCAATAGTTTGAAGTAGGCATAATATAAAAGAGAAAAGACTCTGAAAAACTCAGCCATGAAAGAGATATTCAAATGCCTTTTAAGAATGTAGAGATGTTTTGAGGACTTTCTAAAGTGCAACTTTCAGCTGATAAATCATTCAGTGTGGGACTGAAGAGTACAATTGCCTGTGAAGGGGGATCTTTGGGCTTTACTCTGCTGTTAAAGTGAGGGACTCATTCAATCACTTCGGGAATTACGATCAGAAAGAAGGCTGAAGTCCCTTAAAAAACAGTTTCTTCAGAAGAAAGCATGAGTATTCATGTCCCTAGTGAAACGAGCTACAAAGTACAAAATCAAAGAACCACATGAACTTTTGTGTAGTTTAAACCTTTCCTTGCAAGCTCTCATTCATTTCAGTTAGTCCATTTGCCTCCATGTCTGTGTGTGGAGAAGCTGTTAAAGATTGCTGCAATTTCTGTCTGTGTAGCTCTCTTTGCCCAACTTAGAGCTTTCATGAATGTTTCCCAGATACTTTCAAACGCCTCCCCTGGTTCTGGTTCTTTCCTTGTAGTTGGCTTCTTTTATGTGCAGAACTCCTTCTTTTCGACCCTGAAATTTACCTAGGGGAAGGAATAAACCTCTCTGGCTGGAAGGAGCCAGCTTGGTAGTATTCCCTAATGAACATTCCCTCCCTTTGAATATTTATAATGTGTATATTTATAAAGATGGAGAAATTATGTTGAATTCAATATAGTAATTAGAAAGCAATTATGAAGAAACATAACTTTTATATCTTGGGGC